AGGAAATGTAAAATTGGCGACCGATTCTTGCCTTGTTTTCGTGTCGTTATGTGCGATTTGGCACAATGAGATGCAGCGTGATTTATCATGGCAGTATTTATATTGTAGAAAATCAAATCGCGCCGTGCTGTGCTGTGAAGTCAGTGGTGTTATATGCGTCTGTGTTGTCCTAAAGCCCCGGAGAGCACACCCTGCTGATGAATATGAATGGGCCGTCCAGCTCATTGCCAACCCATCACACGCTCATCCCCACCGCCCCCATCCAGAAGCACATCACTCAGTGCTGTCACACAGTGTTACCCACGACAACCAGGAAAGAGATTATGGAGATCAAATCAATTATAGCTTAATACAGAATGCGATGGTTCTCACTACACTAAATCCAGCACTGCCAGAGCACTGACGACGATTGATTGCCTTAATATTGCTTCTATACACTGCAGAATCTCCCAGGCCCACCTGGCTGCGTTTGTCTCAGGAGAGAGGAAGTGTCCTTCATCAGCTTATTGATAGCGTTTTACATTTATGATGACCGGGAGAGTATACAAGGGAAAAATGCCACACTATTGTGTTATTTCTCAATTTCAAACTACTTACAGTGTTTCTCATATAGCTGTTCTTATGTTGTATAAATATTTTATATTCATATCGTGTTTCAATTTAAACAAATGCTGTTTTTATGAGATAGATAGGAATTCAGATACAGGGTCATCAGATAACTGATTGTTTTCTGCTTACACTCTACTATTGTTTTCCAGAATTCAGTTAAACATGTATTTCATACTGGAAAAATGAGACGAGTACATATAGATAATATATATATGCCGTACTGTGTACTGTCTTGAGCCTCCTATCATTTCCTTGTATTTTGCTTCCAAGTATCCAGATTTTTATCTTGTTATCTGTTAAAGAGGTCTCGTAAGATAAATTGTTTTTTTTCTGATTGTTATGTGTGACAACTCAGCCAAGAGTCAATATGCCAGATTTAAATTGTATGTTTTAGCACTTTGTTGCTAGCTTAATTTTCCAGCCTGGATTTTATTATTGAAGCAGTGTGGGATCATCTTGATGGCGAACAGAACAAAAGGCAGCCGACATCAACACAAAGAAGAGCTTTGAATATTCTTCAAAAAGCCTGGAGAACTATTCTTGACTACTTACAGAAATTACAAGAAAGCTACCCAAGAAAGTTCAGGCTGTGTTAAAGACTAAAGGGGGTCGTAGCAAATACTGACTTTCAAGCTGCCTGTAAAAACTCTGTTTTTGCCTCATGCACTGTATTTCAATCTATGTTTGCATCTTTCAAGAAATCACTTCTCCTGTAGCATAATACAAAGAAATGGGGGATGGATCTTCTGTACAGTACTGCATATGTACCCACTCCCCACCATATGTTAATTAAACTCATAATAAAGGTATTAGTCTAAAGCGGTGCTAACAGTCTAAGCATGTTAGCACGTTCACCGTGATAATGCTAACATGCTGATCACAGACAGTATGAAAAATGGATGTAGCTACAATGACATCACCATAGTTTCTAAAGTCCCATTTTGAAGTCTTGAGATGGATTTTTCCACCATTACCTTCTTGGTTGCAAAATGTTAAAATGCACACTCAGTGGGGCTGAAGACTTGTGACGGAAGCTTGTTAGCCAGTGAGGGTTTTTTGTGTGTGACCCGAAATGAGGGACTGAAACCATAAAATCAGCAGTAAGGTGTGTAAAGAGGCTGAGTCAGAAAGCTGTTTTTGCCTCAACTTCTAAGAGACTGGGAGTGATTTTGCAGCCACAGCTTTCGCCCTCTGGTTTCTTTTGGATGGAATAAAACCTTTCAGGCACTTCTGCATTTGACTAGGAAACAGCATCTATGTTTTATTCTTCCTATGATCCTGATGTTTAGCCAGTAACATCAGCCGTGATCAGTTCAATTTTAATTTTATTTATATAACATCAAATCACAACAACTGTCGCCTCAGGGCACTTGAGGGTGATCACCATCCAAATATAAAGTCTTAGAAAATGTTATATATACTAAAACTGTCCTATTGAGGGTTTCAGATAAGAAAAAAAAGCACCCTGAATGTTGGCACTTGCTTTAATGACAATCCATTTGGTAGCTGTTGAAACATTTCACTCAGAATCACAAATGTTGCTCTCGTAGTGGTGCAAGGAAAAAAGTAGACCACCAACAGCAATCCGATACCTTTTGGGAATCATAAATGTTTATGTGCAAATATCCAACCATTTATTGGTGCTGTATTTCAGTCTGAGCTAATGTGGTCAGTTTGACTGCACACAGTGCTGCACTAATAGCATGACTAAGTATATATTATAGATTGCAAATAATATCAAAGGATCAAACTAATTTGATGCATTAATGAAGAAGGTTTGAACTTTTTTTGTCAATCACTTGCCAATTTTTTATTTTCCATTTCAAGAAATGTTTATTTCATGGCATACACTTTGTTAAATTATGCAGTAGTGTCCCATGAGCGAAAACAGCCACGAAGCCTCTTTTTTTTCTTTGATAATGCTCTCATTTCATGTCAATTTTACGTTCACTTGGGCCTCGTACTCCTAACATAAACCGGTAGTTTAGAAAGAAAATACTGCACCATGACCCAAAGCAACTCTGACTTGCATTCTTCCCACAAACCACCTATTCTCTGCTCACTACTGATTCCAACCCAGTCTGTTATACGGTTATACACCTTCTTATTTAGTATTACGTTTCTTTTCTTTGACACAAGAAAAACAAACTTTAGCTTTTTTATTAATTCAAATAAAATATTACACGAAACTGCTAACAGCTACTAAATATCAGGATTATGCAATGGTAATGTTACATAGCCCCAGAAGGGTCATGGTAGAAATTTCTGTGTTGACAGTTTGTCTGCCCATTTGTTATTTTCCCCTCACACTCGTCAGCTTGCATTAACTTTAATTAAGTTTTTCCATTCCCTCTGGACCATATATTGTATGATATAGTGTGTATTATAAATAGACTGTGGCTGCTTTGACCACAGGCACCTTTACCTGTGCTCAGGAACAATCTGTACCTTTTGGAGAAAGAAATAATATCTTGATGAACTAAATCAACCAGTCGTCTTACCATCAGCAGCTAGTATTAATTGAGACAGCTGCTGGGATCATTAAATGATTGCATGACCTGACACTGCGATTGTGTGGGTGGTCGTGTATGTACTGAAGGATCTTTGCTTTCATTATCACGACATTAGTAACAGGGCAGCACAGCAGGCACATGAGTGGCCAGCTCTTACCATCTCAGACAGTTTTTAGCCTGCACTTGTTTTGTGCCAGAGGCAACCCCAAACCATCTTTGGATATTATCAACACTGTGTTTTATATTATAATCTTTTGTACTGCCTCGACAGAGTCATTGATGCCGTGCATTTTTATAAGCATTGCACTGAACTTCCTTTATAGGTCAGCTGTGAGCATCCAAGTAGAGGAAAACTGAGATGTGTGCTGCATGCAAAAGCCGTGAGTTTTACTTCGAGAGTGATGTTCTCATCTCTCCATATTTATTCACACCCTGGGAAACGCTAGATTGAGAATAAATATGCCAGTTGGTCCAACGTTATAATAGGTAACTAAAACTAAACTAAAAACTGAAACCAGATGTGAAAAAATATTTCAGTAAAATAAAAACTAGACTTGAAATGAAAAAAAAAGTTAAATAAAATGGAGGTTATATGATTAGTTGGAATATTTGTTAGTTTTGCCTGATGAGTTATAGATAGATGTGCTTATTGAGACTTTGGATGGCGACAAGAAAAAAATTATGCAATAATAATTTAAAAGACTGAAACTAATAAAAACTGAAAAACTAAACTGAAATAAGAGAATCATCTCTAAAAACTAACTGTACCTAAACTGAAAATGAAATAAAAATAAAAACAAACTAAAAAATACAAAACTATGATAACTGTGTTGGTCAAACCTCGGATTAAGGAGGAATAATGTGGTTTTCATCCTGGCTGTGGAACGCTGGACCAGCTCTTTATCCTCTTAAGAATATTTCAGTATGTTTGGATGTTTGAGCCGCCAGTGTACATGTGGTTTGTGGACTTGGAGAAGGCATTTGACAGCTTACTGTCACATTGTTACATGCCTTTCGGTCCATGTCAACTACAGTAAGAAACTGGTTATTGTTGCCGGCAATAAGTCAGACTTTTCCCTGGTGGATGGTGGGCAAGGCTGATTCTGTTTGTGATCTTTACGGACAGAATTTCTAGGTGGAGCCAAGTGCTAGAAGGATGCCACTCTCAGAGTCTTATCGCTGCTTTTTGCAGATGATGTGGTTCCTTTGCCATCACCAGGTGGTGACTTCCTGACTTCCTGCTGGAGCAGCTCACAGTTGTGCAGTGGTCAGAATGAGCATTAGTACCTTCTAGTCTGAGGGACAAGCTGCTTTTGTTTAGGGGAGGGGAGTGAAAGAGTGAACCGGCAGACTGGTGCAGCATCTGCAGTGATGCTAACACGTCTGTAAAAACATCGCTATCAATTTACTGGTTATTCTACATTCCTATGTTCACCTCTTATCACAAAGTTCTGAGTGATGACAGAAAGAATGACACTGCAGAAACAAACCCTTTCTTCAAACGGTGGCTGTGCTCAGAAGAGGAACTCAGAGTAGAGCTGATCCAAACGAGGTGGCTCAGGCATCTGGTCAGGATGTTTCCTTGGCTAGGTTTTCTGGATAGGCCCGGAACATGCGGCGAGTTTGCATCTTCAGCTTGTCAGTGTGTACCTTTACTTTGACTGGATAAGCTGGAGGAGTTGGCGAAGTTGGAGAAGGAGGTCTGGACTTGGCTGTGACCCGACCCTGGATAAGCTGTAGAAGATGAATAGATAAATGGAAGAAAGGAAACACTGCTGTAGATTAGCCTGGTTATGCTTTTTGTCAGATGCTTCTTGTTTTTGTTTTTTTTTGTCCGGCTTTGACTCTTTATGATTGTTTGTGCTATTGCACTGAAGTCTCTAAAATTGCTACTGTTATCTCTGACATAAACTGTAGCAGAGCTTTCTGGGTAATGTCCATTAGAGCAGTAAAGAGGAGTTACAGCAGCATCTATCCATAGCACTATCGACTGAACCATAAATGTAACATCTGAACATTAACCATATCCACAAGCACAGCTTTCATCAGCGCAGCCAGAGAGGGCTGCTATGCTGCTTGTGTACATTCATGGCTTTGCCTTTCAAAAGGAGGAATGAACGGCAAAGGATTCATGTGTTCATCATCTCTCATTACCTTAGTATCTGCAGTGTTTGCATTGTGTAACTTCTGTAGCTAATCATGAAGCGATTGAACAGATCTGGCAGAGAGCATTGAGTATTGTCCATATACACATGTGGATAGGTACAGTAGCAGCATTGATTTATGCCTGTACTGTGTAATAGTTATTAGACAATGTATTCTCTTCCACAGCAATGGTGGTGGCCGTAGTGGGACCTTCTGTGCCTGCAACATCCTCATCGAGATGATCCAGTATCAGAACATGGTAGACGTATTCTATGCTGTCAAAACTCTACGCAACTGCAAACCCAACATGGTCGAGTCTCTGGTATGGAAGTTTAGTCTAGTCTGTAAATTCACTGAAAAAACCCCAAATTCAATACATTTGAGATTTTTGACTCTAGTTTTGTGTTTTTCCTTTTTGTTTCTTTAGGACCAGTATCGATTTTGCTATGACCTTGTCCTGGAGTACTTGGACTGCTTTGAAGGCAGATAGCAACTAAACGTTTACGACAGCAGCAAATTCCCACGCGCTGGAGACAAAGGTCACCCGGTGACGCCCCCTCTACTTTAATGTTTGGACCTGTGAAGTTGGCTTTGAAAGGACTGCAGAGGAAGGAGAGCAAAGAAAAAAAACATGGTCAAGGTTCTGACTTTTAACCTTTAATGTACAGCTGTGATTTCCTCCTTGTTGGTGATGTTTATCTCTTTTGATATTTTTTTTGTGCTTTTCTCGGTCCTATTTGCCTCTTGGACTACATCTTGTATGTGCTAAGGGTTTCTGTAGCAGCAAAACAATATTTGGAGCTGCAATGTGGACCTGTCTCTTCAAAGCAAGGGTCACCTTGGCTGTGTTTCATCATTTCATTCGTACAAACTGAAGAGGCTGGATCTAATTCTGGAGTTACAGCAGCATCATTTAAACGTGGAAGAGCTACATAAAATAACGGTCCACTGTGCTCGTGGCATGACTTATCTACCATACCATAAACTGCCTTATTCTCTAATGATAGGACAGATTTATTGAAACCACCAAATAAATCGATAAAGTTTTTCACGTGGGGTAGAAAACAACAACAAGAGATTTTAAGAGACCTACATTGTAAAGCAGACCAGCCCAGTATTCAACAGTATTGATGCAGAAACTGTACAGTAGTGCAATGTGTTGTATTTTCCCATAATGTTTGTGCTGGATTACCATGTGTGCTACAGGTGGGCGTTACTGGCACTGAGCCTGGTGCCATCGAGGGAGATTCCTGTCTCGTTACTGTCACGGTGCCAATCCCACTGACTGACTTGAATCCTTTGCTTTGTTCTACTGCTTCATCTTGATATATGCCTACAAACAAACGCTATGTACTGCATCAGCTAATGTTCTCGCTCCGAAGTGATTGTTTGTACTTTATACTCACCGGAGACAGCAAAAGGAGAGGATGGCGAAAGCTGTTCGAAACGCATCGAGATGCCACAGTGTTGGTGTGATAAATGATACGCCATTAATGCTGTGGTGAAGTGTCTGAACCGGTGCGGTCACACAGGTCTCAGTCTGCACCTCTTCTACTCATTCATTGTCCGAGGCGTTTGGTTGTGCTGTAAAAATTAAAAAAAGTCTAAGAAAAGCAAAAGGAAAACAGGGGGTAGGGGGCACTAAGATGGAGTAGATGGTGGGAATGCTATTTTGGGTCACCGCTCATTGCCGAATATATTTTTTTGAATGCAGAAATGTGATTTTAAAAAAGTAGTAAAAGTAAGAAGCTGTTGGCCACATACCCTGCGGCTGACTTACCGCAGAGTTGATGGATAAACAAAATCCACTCTTTTTCAGCTGTTGGCCTGGAGAGCACTGGAACTCTTCATGCCTGAATCAATGTAAGAAGCAGTCAGGTTGGGATTTGTGATACACATAATGATCAGAGACAACTTTGAAACATGCTCTTGCAAAGACCCCATTACACAGAGGAAGAGATTTTGTTTGTTTGTTTTTTCTTTTTAAATCACTTTTGCGTTATAGCCACAAAAATATCTCTAATAAGCTCCATTAGGGATATTTTAAAATATAGGCCTTTTAAAATATGTTATGCGCCAACACATCTCCCGAGACTCCTTTAAGTAGAGGTTTTCAGGGAGGGTGGTAAAGGTATCACTCCAGGACATATCCTAATGAACAAGGAGAGACAGCTTGAAGCCTGCAGAAGCTGAGAAAGGCAACCCTGTTGCTAGTTTGCAGCTCACACTCTGGTTCAGGTGGGATAACCAGAATATGTGAGCGATCTAACAGTATACAAACATCACCGGACTCCCGCAGATTCTCAAATAGAGCAGCTTGTTTGTGATGAGGAGGAAGAATGAGGTAGCTACATTGTAGTCAGTGATCTGGCAAAAGATTGCTGAAGGAAGTGCCTGGACACTTTTTTTGTTAAGGGTGGAAGGAATATGTATATACAGATGTATATTATGTTATGTGAATAATATATTATATGTTTGCCCAGAGTAAAGACGTATAGTAAGTAACCACAACTTAACCATAAAGCTGAATGTTGCTGTAAATGACCATTTTGTGAGTTTTTGTCAGAACTTTTAACGACGAGCGTTCATCCCGGCGCTGCGAGCGAAACTGCTCATGTGGCATGTTCGGGCGCTCGTTACGCTTTGCATTTCATTTCAGTGATTTCAGAATAACCCGATCCATATGATTTATTTCAACCTTTAGCCACGACTGTGAGTGCATTATACTTTTACCATTCCAAAGCTTTTTATTATGACTATTTCTGAGTGACAACTGCCAACACAGGACGTTTGATTTCACGTGTTGTTTTCTGTATGAACCAACAGTACATGACTACTGTGTTTTTGATCATTGTATTTGTGGGGACATGGTGTGTATTTAATGAAAGAAAATAAGAAGAGAGATGTATATCGGGGTAGAAAGATCTTTCTTTTGAGCGATACCAACGATTAACAATAAATGAACAATGGGGGGAAAAAAAGACGTTGTCGCAGCCTTTCATTGGATGTTCTGTACGAAATGCATACACGGCTGAAAAACCCCAACACACAACGTGGTTTCATGATCAGAATGTCAGCAGAAGCGCAGACCCGATGGCTAAAGATGGACTTTCTGTCTATATCCCCTCTGACCCACCTGCAGTTTCTCATGCGGATGTGATCTTTTAACATTTTCCCGTCACCTTAAACCGCATTGACCATTTGATCTGACCCGCCTTTCTGATCCCTCACCCCGTTTCTTTTCCTTATCTCTTTTAATCATTCCCCTCCACCGCACCCTGCTCATTTTCCATTACTTTCAATGTCTTTTCCTCATCGTTTTCTTCATCTCTTGCTTTGCTGCTTAGCTCAGAGTAAGGTGACTCCAGACCACAGACTTCCTCTCTTACCCCTTGGCTACGTTGAATAATGCAGCAGTCCTGCAAACTGATCCAGTCTTCAGCAGAGAGACTAGTCAGATTAATTAGAGTACAAGACCCCCTACTGTTCGGATGAGGACAATGTAGGCTGTGCAGACTTGCCTTTATTTTCTCATAGATTGATTAAGCTGCAAAAACAAACTTTAAAGGAGTGCGTCGGTATATTTAAGTATTCCTAAGTTGGTACTTTTCCACTAGTCATGTTGGTGAAAGGGGCAGGAATACCTTGTAGATTAATGAGGCAATGAGCTATTTTTATGGAGGCAGGTCATTTATACAACCCTATTTAATATCTGCAAGATTTTCTCAATTTCCCTTTTCACCTGCAGAAAGCCATTACAACATAAAATCCATTTTTCCATCTTTTATTTCTCATATTTGACCGGCGGTTTAAATTAGCTGGTAATTGGAATCTTATCATTTAATTCTGATGGTGTAATGACTGTCGTGGTCAAGGCACTTATCACTTTGCCAGGATCCAACAGGGTTTTGTCTTTTCTCTCTCTTTGGAGCATCCTGTCTTATATTCTGTCACTGATGGGCTCGATAGATGTCGGCTTCTCCTCAGTCTCCCTGTTGAGTCTCACCACATACACTCGGATATCTTTCTATAAAACGACTGTGACTTCCGACAGCTTTTGTTATTGGCTGATATAACGGAGAAAGCTGAAAAATTATCTAGTAATTTGATCAGGTAGGATTAATGTTAGTGTTAATGGAAGTTTTAAAACAAATATACTCTAAGGTATTTGGATAGACAATACCATATTGTGCAAAAGTCTTGAGTGTCCCCCTCATATTTTTATATTTTGCTTCCAAGGAGCCAAACTGTTACTTTTAAGTGGTCTTAAGCATTATTCATTAAGGTTTTCTTTTAAAGTTGGCTGCCTTTTCACTCATTTTTAGTTCAATCCTTGTATTACACCAAATATAACAGAGTTTAACATAAACGTATAATAATATAAAAAGAATGTATTTGCACTTATAAGGTGATTCGAAAAGTGCTATTAGTTAAAAGCATGGTGTTCAGTTTGTCCTTAAAAATGTGAGAAAATTGGACAAATGGAGGACAGAGGAAGAAGGTGCATGGCTAAAAAAACTATCTACAGCATATAAAGAATATGCAGCAGATAGCTTTAGTATCTACAGCATACCAGTATATCCAGTAAAGACCAGAGTATGCATCAGGTCCTTGAGTTTATCCATCTGCTCATTAGAAATCCATTCTTAAGAAGGGAAGCAGGTGCAGTATGCCACATTACACAAGAGCTGGACTGAAAATAAGTAGCAACAGGTCTTATTGTAAAATTTGAAACTTTTGGTTCAAATTATCATCAACATATACAGAGAAGGTCAGTGTTCACATCCATCAGTAAAACATGCTGGAGACTCTGTCATCGTGTATGGCTGTATTCCAAACGTTGGTGTTGGGAATCTTGTCAAAATCGATGCAGAAAAGGAACGTAGATCCGCCATGCAATCAGAAGAGTATCTGGTTGGCAGTGACTTCATTTATTAGCATGAAAATGATCCTTAAACACAATGTTAATGCAGTGTTATTACTCTATTAATACCTATAAAGACAGAGTCCAAATCATCTAGACAGAGAGAACAGATCAAAAGGCAGCCAACATCCAAGGAATAGCTTCAGTGTCCTTCAAGAGATTTGAGGAAGTATTCCTGAAGACTACTTAAATAAACTACAAGAAAGCTTGCCCGAGATAGTAAAGGTCGTGTGAAGGTTCGAAACAATAGAATGAAGGTGGTCGTATCATATATCGATTTTCAAGGTCATTGCAACTGTACAAACCCCATTTCCCCCCCTTATATACTGTATTTCCATAAATGGTTGCATGTTTCAGTAAATTGCTGCACCTATTTCCAATTTTTCCAAGCAAGACCTTTTGCACAGTAAATATAAATTATTCATCGTTTTGTGACTTTTACAGTCTTGCAACTGTAAAAAGAAGCAATGTCTGGGACTCAAAAACATGCTCACTTGTTGCCTAATAGCTACAGAGACATGATCCGGGTTTTAACATCGGCAGAATGCTATTCTTCAAAGCACAGTGGTGTATCTTACTAAATGTTTAATGATTCTTCTTTCATGCCAAATGCTTTGCTAATAGATGCAGATAAAATCCAATATTCTCTGGGAGAATATTGTCACAGAAGCTTCTGCGGGTGACCTTGCCCAAGCCTCAGTCAATAAGTCGATAGAGAAGATGGCATGAAAATAAAGTTGCAGGCTTTTAGAAAGTGGGATAAATATCTGGTGTATGTCTGGGGATGTATTATATGATTCCTTAGGACCAATAGAGACTTAAACAAAGTCCCATCCACTAAGTAAAGCCATTCTTCTGTTTCTGAGCATTATTTTTATACTATAAACACACAACTAAACAAATACACACCATACCCACACTATCTTGTTCTACCATCCTGGTGGTACTCGGCTTCTGCTATAGAGTGCAGCAGACAAGACAGGTGGTTCAGCTTTGTGCTCAGCAGAGCGAGGACAGAGAAGAGCCAGCCAGATGGCTCCGTCCACCATGTTTTCTCACCGGTTCCATTGCCACAGTCAGTCTGATTGGAGCCCTTATCTCAACAGTGTGCTCCGAGTTCAGTGAAAGTCATGGTTGACACGAACAAGGGGACGAGAGGAAGCTTCTGATGGTTCCAGCCTGGATCATGCAGGCAAACAAGGAGCCTGAGACAGATAACCAGAATCAGAGGACACATGAGTGATTCAGCCGTCCCTTTCCTCTTTATCACGCTCGCCTTTCGCTGTTGGGTAGCACAACAGTAGCTTGCCGCCACCACCAACACCAGCCACCTTTAACTTTGGATCCTCTGACTTGTGTCATTTGTGGGGTTGAGTTCAACAGCTGAATTAAGCTGGAGGAGGGGGATGAACACGGCAGGCGATAGAGAAGTTGGATAATCCAGAGAGAGACAAAAAAAAAAGTTTGGGAAGTTGTGGTGATGAAATATCAGGATTGTGTACACAAAATCCGTCTCTGCCACCGCGCACTCTCTCGATAACAACGCAATCTCAGGTGAAGCAGAGGCTGAAGTTATTTTGCTCCAAGGATAATCTCTCGTTGTTAGTACACACATAGAGATGTTGAGCCTTGAGGTTTCTGGGGAGAAGCTTGTAAACGATCTTATGTCAACATGAGCCATTTCTAGGTTGTGGCAATAATGCTTCTCCGAGCTGCCATAAATTTGAGAGATGAGCTTATCAAAAGGTCAGCCCTTAGAGGGACTGGCTTAGCAACTGGATTTATCCTTCAGTTTATTTAGAGCAGAAAAATGGGGCCACAAGCGACGACTAGCATCAATCATACTCCATTGTGATCCTTGACAAACTTAAAGAAAGAGCAGGAGTCTTTGTGATTTCATCTAAAGGCAGGGAACAAACACTGGGAGTATACTCAAGTCAATAAAGTATGGAATTACCTTTTATTGCTTTTAAGTTATAAAACATATTCAGGCACAGGAGCTCCTGCATATTACATGTCCCCTGTTGAGAATGATTAGATTTGATTTCTACCTTCCTATTTTCTGACATCTTAGTGTTTTTGTTTTGTTTTTGTTTTATTGTTTTGGGGGTTTTATGGTCTTTTTTATGGCATTAAAATTAAATAATATGAGAAGAATTAAATCTGTTATCAACTTTCAAGGCCTTCAAACTTTCCTGTCCACTCTTGAGAATATCTATTTTGTCTTTGTTTTCTAGGTTTTTTTCTCACTCGTCCCTTTTTGCCCTTCTTCTCTCTCTTGTCGCTTCTTCCCTTATCTTTCTCTGTCTTCATCCCCCCGCCTCCTGCCCCCTTCTTTCCTCCAGCAGTTGTTGAAATAGATGCGGCTATGAGAGGACAGTTGTGCAGCTGATAATACTATATTAACCTCAGGGAGAACACAGTTGTCCTCTGCTCTCCCATCTCTGTTCCACACCAGACATCCCCGACTGCAGGCCGCATTAACCCCAGTTCTCCCCCACTCTGTCATCCCTGGAGCCCTACGTTCACCGGTTCACGAAGCCCCATAGCGGCAACTGATCTTCTTTCTGCCAGGGCTGAGTAATGCCATGCTATGTGAAAAAAATGTTGTCTGCATCCAAAATGGAAACATGGCCCAGAACGCTATTACTTCCCAGAGCACTTTGTCTTTCACACCTATGTGGCGTCATTCACAATGTCTACATTTCATTTAGCACCCTATCCTGTGGAGAATAGTTGCACACTCCCACACTGCCTGCATGCTCTTTTTTTATAGAGAGGATTGTTTTCTGTATATTACACACACACACACAGAAAAACACACACTGAGCTAAACGTCAAACAGTATTTTCTGTACAAGAAAGAAGCACATGTTGTCTAGAACAGTGTTGGGGTTGTCAAAAAAAGTAATTTATTACTCATTACTTTGTTCCCCTTTTTAAAAAAACAAACAAACTTATTTTAAAGTAAATTTTTGTGTTATGTAACTTTTTGCTCCAGGCAGAAAGTAATTTGTTACACTGACATTACTTTCATGTTTCTATGTAACTTGATCTT